GATCCAACCCGTAATCAACATGGTTTGATAAAAGCCATCCATGAACAAACACAGAGTCACCAACAACAATAGTCAAATTATTTGCTAGAAATCGACTCCAAATCGGACCTTCACGTCTCAATGCAGCAACCCTAGCCCTAACTCCATCACTAATTTCTTGTTTCAAATTAGGGAAAGCCAAAAGCAACCCACGATACAAATCCTAGGGTTTTCCCAACCCATCACAAAGACTCTTCATTGAATTACCAACCCAGTACCAATCAGCCCAAACCCTAAATTTATCGAGAAGGGTCTTACTAATGAACCTGAAATCGCCGTCGACATTCATGATTTTGTGATTTGCATTCATGGTGACGATTTTCCCACCGACTTTCGCAGCCTCGCGGTTGAGTTTCTCGAGAAAGTAGATCTTGATTTTCGTCGCCGTCACGATCGATGATATCATAGACCTGGACGAAGGTGGCGGAGCCACCGATCCAGCGGTCGGAGAGGTCGATGAGACCGGCGAGTCAAGGGGCTTTTTTGAATTTTTGGAGGTCGCCGTGTATATCGCCGATGGTGATGAGGTGGCCCAGCGAAAAGTATGTGGTCTGTAATGAAGGTGAGGGGTTAGAGTTAGGGTTTAGAGGTATGAAGAGGCCACTGACTGAGAAGTCAACGAAGGTGTCGATGAATGAGGAGAGAAGGTGAGAGAGGCTTTTCCAGGTAATGTGGGTATGTTTGGTTTATGTTTGGGATACGAGTTTTAGAGATAAAAAGTATGAATAGTTGTTTGGTTTAGTTTTTTTTAAAAGATATTTTGAAAAATTATTTTGAGAGAGAGTTTTGAAAAAAGTGATTGATTTTATGTGTATGAGAAGGAGATTTATTTGAAAAACTTGTAAACCAAACAAATTTTGAAAAATTATTTTAAAAAAATTTATTTAGTTTGATTACTTTTAAAAACTTATTTGTAAAAAAAAAAAATTTAATTTTTTGAGAAACATAAACCAAACAAGGCCAATGTTGTTTTTTTTTTTTTTTTTTAGTCATCGTCTTTTTTTTCTAAGATTTTTTTTTTTTCTTTCAACATCTGAAAAATATTTCTCCACTCTAGAATAAAATAAACAGCCCATCATCATCATTGTTATTTTTGAATATATAAGGCCCACTTTTTTTATAAACTTGACTTTACTTTTTTTTCAATCAACTTAGGCTAAGGTCAAGTTTGACAACTCTTAAAAAATTTAAAAAGTCAAAAAGTCACTATCCTATTTAAATCACATCATCTTATTTAAGTCACATTACTTCTCTAACACATCATTTCAAACCCAACCCAAACCCAACTCATATTTCATAAAAATTCAAAAAGTGCACTTATTTAGTCTTCCCAAACTTGGACTAAGTTTGGGAAGACTAAATAAGTGTACTTTTTATTTTTTTTGTATTATGTGTAAAAAAAGTAAAGAAAAAATGTTAATTAACGTGATCCAAAAAAGATAAAAAGATGAAATAAATACACTTTTTTTAATTTAGCCAAACTTAACCTTATACAATTTTCAAATCCACATATTTCCAGAATATGCGAAGTCTCATTATCTATATAAACAACATTAGCCTTAGCACTTTTGTAGGTGATCAGAATCAAACTTTGCCCTTTCTCTTTTATATATATTTTTTCTTTTGGGGATAAGGACAAAAGAAACCTTACTCCTTCTCTGTTTTGGCAAGGCCCCTTTCGGCGAGTTCAGATCCTCTCCTTGCAGGACTTACGAGCATGCGTCCTTGCAACCGCTGAGATCAGCCGTTGCACATCCAACGGTTGAGATTAAAAAAAAAAAAAAAAAATCAATTTCTATTCGTTCCCGCCCGTCGCTATAGTTAGTATTATACATTCATATGAGAATCACTCTCACTCCTCAGTTTCACTCAGCCTTGCACTCCTCCCACTCACTCGTCCCCCTCCACTGAATCTACTCTCACCGGCGACCAGTCCCCCAGACGGCGGCACCGGCGACCCACTTCCAGGAACGTGGGTTCTGAGACCATAGAGGAACCAGGTTAGTATTCGAAACTCTGAACTGAAGATGTTAGGATTGTGTGATTGAAATTGAGAAAATATCTTTTAAATTTGAAAATTAGGGGCTTCGATGTCAGATTCGAACAGAAAAAACTGGTTTGATTTGGCTTTGATTCGAATAGGGATTCGAACAGAAAATAGGGCTTTGATTTGGGATTGAGAAATTAGGGCTTTGATTTCAAATCTCTGAATAGGGCTTTGATTTGGGATTGAGAAATTAGGGCTTTGATTTCAAATCTCTGAATAGGGCTTTGATTTGGGATTGAGAAATTAGGGCTTTGATTTCAAATCTCTGAATAGGGCTTTGATTTGGGATTGAGAAATTAGGGCTTTGATTTCAAATCTCTGAATAGGGCTTTGATTTGGGATTGAGAAATTAGGGCTTTGATTTCAAATCTCTGAATAGGGCTTTGATTTGGGATTGAGAAATTAGGGCTTTGATTTCAAATCTCCGAATAGGGCTTTGATTTGGGATTGAGAAATTAGGGCTTTAAACCAAACCAAACCAAACCAAGTAGAAGAATATTAATGAAAATGAAAGGGTATATCCCTGAAACTGCTAGGAACTACCATGGTTCAAATATTTTCATCTTCCACAGGTGTTCTCTTTAGTCAGATTTCACCTTTTCCTCTATGGAACTACCATGGTTCAAATATTTGTCATGTATGCAGATTTTGAAAAATGGCATCTTCCTCTAACATTAGCAACATAAGACTACAACCAAGAGTGTGCAATTGTGGAAGAACCGCTGCCATACGTATTGTAAAAACCAATGAGAATGGAAATGAAGGACGTTTGTTCTTTGTTTGCCCATCAAGATATGTAAGTTTGTAATTCTAGCTGTTTTCTTCGTTTAGCAGTCAAATTAATATTTGTCTTCTTCGACTAACTTATTCTCATGCATTGCAGAGTAAGACTCCCACTCCCCATTGCAATTACTTCAAGTTCGTGGATGAAGATGATGAAGACGTTACGTCCAGAATCCGTACGACCTATACAGCTTGTGATGGTATAACAGTACAAGACTTTAACGATGTTAGGACGAGGCTTCATTACATGGAAACGAACTATGGTCGAAGGCTTCAAATGATGGAAAGGAATATCAAAGCGATGGTGTACTTCATTGTATTTGCTACCATTTTCTACTTTATGATGTAACTTGGAAGTTTGTAGCATTTTGGCTTGTATGTACATGAAGTTGTTAGCTTGTTATCTATTATCTATTTTCCTCAACTTGTGGCCTCAACTTTTGAATGAATGAATGGAATGAATTTTGGAATGAAGTATGGTACATTTTCGAATGAATGAATGAATTATCTATTAGCTGCTGAATGAAGTATGGCATATTTTGGAATGAATGAATGATGGAATGTTATCTGTTATCAATGAATGATGGAACCAATGATGGAATGTTATCTGTTATCAATGAATGTACCATATTATCTGTTATGAATGATGGAATCTTATCTATTATCAATGAATGATGGAACCAAGACAGCTTTGTTACCAACCATGTATGGCATTTGAACCATTACTGTTATCAATGAATGATGGAACCCCTACAGCTCTGTTACCAACCATGTATGGCATTTGAACCATTACTGTTATCTGTTATCAATGAATGATGGAACCAAGACAGCTCTGTTACCAACCATGTATGGCATTTGAACCATTACTGTTATCTGTTATCAATGAATGTTATCAATGAACCTGTACTAAAACCATGAACCTCTCTTATCTGTTATTATCTGTAGATGATGCAGACCAGACCAGACCAGAAGCAGACCAGAACCAGAACAGCGATGCAGACCAGACCAGCAGATGCAGACCAGAATAGATGCAGAGTAGCAAATGCAGACCACAACAGATGCAGACCACAACAGATGCAGAGTAGCAAATGCAGACCAGAACAGATGCAGAGTAGCAAATGCAGACCAAAACAGATGCAGACCAGAACAGACCACAATCACAAACCAATACAGCATTGTTGAGTGCAGATTCAGACCAGAGCAGTCCATTCCCAGCAGACCAAAGCAGACCATTATTTATGCTATCTGATATTATTTAGTGCCAAAACAGTATTGTTGCTATCTGATACCTTTTTGTTGTGTAACAAAACCATTATTTATGCTATGTAATACTATTTTGAATTGTATCAAGGGTTGTGTTGAACTATAGCAGATGCAGACCAGACCAGTCCACAGTAGCAAATGCAGACCAGACCAGACCAGAGTAGCACATGCAGACCAGAGCAGAGCAGAACCAGACCAGAGTAGAAGATGCAGACCAGACCAGCAGATGCAGACCACAACAGACCAGAACCTCTCTTATCTGTTATTATCTGTTATCAATTAAGGTTATCAATGAACCTATCTGTTACTATTTCAAAACACAATCACAAACCAATACAGCATTGTTGAGTGCAGATTCAGAACAGAAGCAGACCAGACCATACGAAACCAGACCAGACCAGACTAGAACATAGCAGAACCTCTCTTATCTGTTATTATCTGTTATCAATTAAGGTTATCAATGAACCTATCTGTTACTATTTCAAAACACAATCACAAACCAATACAGCATTGTTGAGTGCAGATTCAGAACAGAAGCAGACCAGACCATACGAAACCAGACCAGACCAGACTAGAACATAGCAGAACCTCTCTTATCTGTTATTATCTGTTATCAATTAAGGTTATCAATGAACCTATCTGTTACTATTTCAAAACACAATCACAAACCAATACAGCATTGTTGAGTGCAGATTCAGAACAGAAGCAGACCAGACCATACGAAACCAGACCAGACCAGACTAGAACATAGCAGAACCTCTCTTATCTGTTATTATCTGTTATCAATTAAGGTTATCAATGAACCTATCTGTTACTATTTCAAAACACAATCACAAACCAATACAGCATTGTTGAGTGCAGATTCTGAGCAACATCAAAATTTGTGCACCAATTCAGCATGAGTTTGCTTCACAATTTGAGATGGTATCACTTCACTTTGCATGCCATTTTCATTTTCAGTTTGCTTGTCTTTGTGCTTGTCCATGGCCTGAAATGGAGAAACACAGAATTTAATTGGAAAAAAAAAAATTTCAAAAAAAAGCTACTTCAAATACAAATTTCAGCAACACAAAATCCAGATTTTTAGGCAACTACAAATTCAAAAGACATCAACGACAAACCTGACTCCACATTGGACTGTTTGATTCTTGAGAATATCGAAACCCAATGTCATATCCATATGAACCTTGAAGTAGTGACTGGAATGTTGGTTCAGTAGGATACCGTTGCGGCATTAAATTTGGCACTGAATTATGCACTACGTACATGTCCTGCAAATTGGCAAAGAACAATGTCATATATTACGCTTCGCAATTACGGGTTGAGTCACATATTATATCCATAAAAAAATACATATATTGTACTAACACTTACATGATATGTGGGATTCATCAATGACGGAGGAATAGAATTACCACCCATGGGCAAAGATGGAGGAAAATGACGACGGGGAGGAAGAGGTTGAAGAGGAGGAACATCTTGACGAACATAGATCTCTCCTCCAACAGATAATGTAGAAGGTGCAACTGTTGGACTTGCAATAGATTGTGACGAAGCGAAGCTGTTAGCACGGGATTTTTTTTTGGAGTTCGCTATCAACGCCACTTCGAATCCACCTTTTACCCTCCTTTTGCCCTTACTAGTTGCCAGTTTTTTCTTAAATCCTTTTGGTTGCACAACATGATTCACATCTTCGCAATCGACTTCAAAGCTTTGGGTGTCATGATCATTACTTACTTCATTTCCAGCACCAAAAAGAGCACCTAACTTGCCTTCAATATTTGCACCTAATGTAGCAAGGTGTGCAACACAAAAATCATAAGTTTCTTCAGTTTCAGCAGCTCTACTTGCTAGTGCTCTAAATGCGGTCATCAATGTCTTATACCGCGAGGCTTGTTGGAATTTCACATCCACTTGAATGTCATTCCCCTTAATGTCCTTCACAGTTTCGGCTCTTGCTTGTTTCGTCCACCTCTTTAGAATGTATTGTGGAGGAACCTCTTTCATCTTCAATATGTCTCTAATAACCTTCAATGAGTGACAGCACAAGATTCCTTCCCTTTCAAACTTTGTACAATTACAACCCAATGACCCATCCCTCTCCATCTTCACTTTCCGTGCATGTTTGTTACCAACATCAACAACTGTGTAAATGGTACTAGCCTCGCCATATTCAATTGCTTCTATGTCCGATTCAATGGATCGAAAGTACTCATTTTGAAATTCTTCAAATATGTTTTTTGTGTAAACATTACCCATTTGAATTAACATTCTTATTGTTGCTTTCACCTTTGGCAACCTTTGGCACAAAGCATATCCTGGTTCTAACTCCTTGTATCGCTTCTCGTAAAGTACCCTTTCGAAATGCATGAAGAATTCATTTAAGTTAAAATCAGAACGAATGTAATCCTTCAAAAAAGCATTAAAAGATTCACTAAGTTGTGTGGTACTCATTCCCGCAGCCCATGTTGATCTAACATATGGCCAACCCCATTTTTCTTTCACCGCAAATGTCAATTTTAACCAATGGTTTTCATGCGCATCATATTTATCAAGCATTTCCGCCCACTCTAACTTCCATTGATTTGCATCTTCAATGTCAAAGAAGAACTTATTTAGTACACCCTTTACCCCCTTATCTTGGAACAAACAATTAACATGTTTGAATGCATTTTGCATCAAATGCCAAGTACACAAACGGTGACTTGTGTCCGACATAACGATGGGTATGGCTTTAGCCATTGCAGCATCTTGATCAGTGAACAACGTTTTTGGTGCCTTTCCTGACATAGCCTCTAGAAAATTTTGAAACAACCATACAAACGATTCGGCGGTCTCATCATACAACAAGGCTGCACCAAATATAACTGTTTCCCTATGATGGTTGAATCCCACAAAAGACGCGAAGGGTCTATGTTCTTTGTTTAACTTGTAAGTAGTATCAAAAGTGACAACATCACCAAACTAGGCATAATCCTTAATCATTTGGGCATCAGCCCAAAACATATTCGTTATTTGCTCTTCATTATCTAACTGGAAAGCATAAAAGAAGAAAGGATTCTATAAAGATTTTTGTTTAAAGTATTGCAACACATTGCCTACTTCTCCATATGCTAAACTTTGTTGTCTTTTGGTTCTCAAATAATTTTCCTGATCTAATTTTGTAAACCCAAGACATTGCCTCCCACCAGCTTCCCTACCCATGAGTTCAAAAGACTGGCCTAAACGAAGACCAGATTGTGCCGCCAAATCTAACTCAATTGCTTGGGTAGTCGATATCTTTCTTTGTGACGGCAACATGTGGGCACACTCGGGTGATACAAGATCATGGTTGTGTTTTTCTTTGAAATCAGTGACAACATATTTCCCAGTACCCTCATCTAATTTGACATAAAGTCGAGCCTCACAACCGGTCCTAGTTTCAGCTCTTGGGTTTTTTGACAATGGGTCTCGTTTGTCACCCTTCCGAAATCCCTCCTTGTTGCAAACCAAAAGTCTACAAATAAGTTGGTTATTGATCTTGTTCTTCCTACAGAAATCCCTTCTTATGCTAAACCCCATTCTTCCTCCATATGTATTATAAAAATCATACACACATTGTTCAGAATCGAATGTCATTCCCTGTTTTGGCTTCCAAGCACAATCATTCTCAGGTTCCATATCCATATGAAAATGCAACTGAAAACCCATATAAATAAAATCTTAGCTACATAAATAAAATCTTAGCTACATCAATAAACACAATATTTGCACTATCATCAAAGAACCCACTGTCACACTTAGATAAAGAAATAAGAAATGAGAACTACATATCTTTAATTGATTTCTAAACTGAGACTGAATTGATTTGTAAACATCATCACATTGTAAACTAAATATCATTCAAGAACTAAATTGATTTCTAAACTGAGACTGAGATTGAGACTGAGACAAAATGATTTCTAAAAAATTCATCACGTTCCGGTAAAACCTTATCCGTTCACATGACTGATTAAATAAATTATGTTACAAAAATTATTTGGCAAACCTCTGATTAAATACTAAAACTGATTAAATAGAGTGAAACTGATTACATATAGTGAAACTGATTAAATAGAGTAATCTTCAAAATCTGTGTTAGACCAATGAAATCAATTCAACATATTTACTTTATAGAGTGCAGATCAATTATATTTCAAAATCTGTGTTAGAAATAAAATAGAGTGCAGATAGTGCAGATGTTGAATTAATTTTGGACATATTTAAAAACCCTATTGATTACATAACAATGAATGAGTGAGGATTTGCTGCTAGCATACTCACAATTTTTGAATGTTGAATTAAAAATAGGCAATTTTGATGAGGATCTGCTACTAGCATACTCACAAATTTTAAATGTTGATTACATAACCACGTGGTAACATACCCTATTGATTTCATTAACACAGATTTTGAATTAAAAGTAAAATCTGTGATTTCAAAATCTGTGGTTTAACACAAAATAAATTAACACATTTGTCCATTAAAAGTAATCTTCAAATACTGAAACTAATTAAATAGATTTTGAAACAATTGACAAGCAAAAATTTTATTTTTTTGTACTCTTTTTTTTTTTTTTTTTTCAAGTATTGAAAAATACAAAACTTTTTTTTACTCCAAGTAAAAGAAATAAGAATTAAGATAAGAAATCAAAAAAAAAAAATTTCTTTTTTTTTTTGTTTGAGCTTGGAAATAGGTTGGCCTCTTAGATATATGCATACATATTCCATATATCACACCTTTCTTTTATTCTATTTAAAGAGATGGCTCAAAACCCTAAATCTCACCAACTTATTTTTGCCTCAGCCGCCGAAATCACCCAAATTTCTTCTCTTAGCCTACTCTCTATCTATATTGAGAGACCATCTTATTCTTCAAGAAAGCTCTGTTTCTAGAATACCAGAGGCCACCTCCACTTGCTCACTGACCTCCATCGCAGCTTCACCACTGCCTTCAACCGTGATCTGGCCAACGCCGACCACGCCACCTTTTCAACATGGCGTCGGTCTGCCCAGCTACTCTGTCGCTTGTTCACGGCATAGCTCCCGGCACTATCATCACTCAACGCCGTCGTAACTGTTGCGTCTTTGCCCTCCAGCGCCGCTCGTGTCGCCACAGCTTCGACTACTGTAGACGCCATGACCCGAGTTGCTCCTAACTCACACCGACGCCAACTCTACCTCATCGTCAATGTTTCATTTCGGCCCAGCAACGCGACTTATCAAAACTCCGAACACACCAGAGCTTAGTCTTGCTCCGCCGAAGACCACAACTATTCATGTGTTGCTTGTTGCAGCAGCCTTAAGTGTCGCAGCAGCCGCCGCAACCTGTGCTACTGTTCTTTGCTGCGCTGTTGTTCACTGGTTATATTTGCTCCGGACACGCCAACACCGCGACCCTAGCCGTCTCCCATTCAACTTCAATATTTGCTCACTTCGGCGCCACTTCCTCACGATCTCGGTTTGTACTGCTCTTGGCCACTCTCTCTAATGGGCGTGGCCTTCAGATCTGTAAGTATTTTATCGAAACCCACTCTCGATCCTCTTGTTTTGACGAAATCTGAATTTCTTAGCCTTACTAGAAATTTGATTTGGGCCTTTGAGATTTGTGGGCATTGTTGTATACCAATTTTGAACTTGAGATAGCTGAAGCTTCTATTGAATCCTGATTTTCATGAGAAACGTAATCTTGAAATTCATGTTTTGTAGCTTAACCTTGTGTTGATAAATCTGACGCAAATGGAGTATTAATGTTGCAAAGATTCATTAGTGTGGAGAGAGATAAGTTGAATCCTTTGAGTCGTGTTGGTATTGTCGCTAGCTTTGCTTGAATGGGATGAATAAAATAAATGTTGTTGTTATCGATGAAACTCGAGGAAATGAGGCTCTCATATTGTATATAAATCTTGTTGTTGAATGATTGATTATCGTTTTGTTGATCTTGTGGATGCTTGGGAAACATATAGTTGATGCCAAAATTTTGTGTGACTGTTGTAGCTTTACGTCGACTTGAGAGGAACCAGTCTAGAGAGACAAAAACTTAATTGTTGCATTGTCATGAACTTGCTCGGGGAAATAGAATTGTTGTAGCTTAAGTAGATCATTATTATTTGTTGATGTTGCCCCATTCCGATAATACCTGAATCATAATCTAAACTCGCTATTGTTTATCTCGTTTGCCGGCTTTACTATTTCAGGAAAATAAATTTTTTTGTGAAATCTACGACCCCGGGGTCCTCAGAACCTGTACTAATGAGAGCAAGGGCTGTCCTTCGGAAGTCTGAACAAGAGCAAAACTGTCCCTCAGGAGCCCGAAAGTAGCATACACCCTACTTCGGCAAGAAAGATCCCTCTGGAAGGCAACCGAGTCTAGCAAGCTTGCACCAACAGAAGTAAAGATTGTCTCTCGGAAGTCTAAGCAGAAGCAAGGCTGTCCTCCAAAAGTTCGAGCGGAAACAAGGCTCTCCCTCAGAAGTTCAAGCAGAAATGAGGCTGTCCCTCGGAAGTCCGAGTGGATGCGCACTTCTACTTCGGCAGCTAATGGAAGCAAAGGCTATCTCTCGGGAGTTCGAGTAGCATACACCCTACTTCGGTAAGAAAGATCCCTCTGGAAGGCCATCGAGTCTCGAGGGTTGTTCTTCGAAAGTCTGAGTGGGAGAACACACTCTACTTCAACAAGAGAGATCCTCGAAGCTCGCACTGATGGAAACGAGGTTTGTTCCTTGGAAGTCCAAATGGAAGTAAGGGCTGTCCCTCGAAAGTTCGGGTGGAAGCACATTTTTTTCTTTGGCAAAAAAAGATCCCTTCTAACTGGTAACTGCAAAAAAGATCCCTCCTGGCTGGCAACCGAATTTATCAAGCTTGTACTAACGGAAGTAAAGATTGTTCCCTAGAAATCCGAGCAGAGAAAAAGTTGTTCCTCGAAAATCCAAGTGGATGTACACTTATTTCTTCGGCAATCAATGGAAGCAAATGCTATTCCTTGAAGCTCGCATTGATGGAAGCAAGGGCTATTCTTCGGAAGTCCGAGTGGGAACACACACTCTGCTTCAACAAGAAAGACCCTCGAAGCTTACATTGATGGAAGTAAGGGCTATTCTTCAGAAATCCGAGTAGGAGCACACACTCTACTTCAGCAAGGAAAACCCTCAAAGCTTGCATTGATAGAAGCAATGACTGTTTTTCGGAGGTCCAAGTGGGTGCAACACTCTACTATAGCAAGAAAGACCCTCGAAGCTTGCATTGAAGGAAGCAATGGCTGATGGAACCAAGGGCTATTCTTCGGAAGTCCGAATGGGAACACACACTCTGCTTCAACAAGAAAGACCCTCGAAGCTTGCATTGATGGAAGTAAGGGCTATTCTTCGGAAGTCCGAGTGGGAGCAGACACTCTACTTCAGCAAGAAAAACCCTCAAAGCTTGCATTGATGGAAGCAATGACTGTTCTTCGGAGGTCCGAGTGGGTGTAACACTTTACTTTAGCAAGAAAGACCCTCGAAACTTGCATTGAAGGAAGCAATGGCTGCTCTTTGGAGGCTCGAGTGGGAGCACACACTATTTTGGCAACTAATGAAAGCAAAAGTTGTCCCTCTCTAAGTGGGAGTATACTTCTACTACGTCAAGAAAAATCCCTTCAGGATGGTAACTGAGTCTACTATTCCTCTTTCTTTTTCGAGGGGTAATAAAAATTGCAAACTGTTTCAAGCAACACAGCACAATGAAGATATACAATGTAGAGAAAATACCTTCTAATGGAGATACATAATATGGAGGAAATAACTTTCTTTATAACATAAGAAAGAAAGATAAAAAATTCTTAGACAATGCAGTAAATACAAATTGTAAATGTCATGGATAGACTTCTTCTACGGAATGTTGACATTTGCCCCTAGAGCCGCAAGGTCATTTGGAAAGCTTTCACCACCCGCTCGGGTTGTGGCCATCATACACCATCATAGCCAAGTTCTCTCCCTCAACAATTTCTTACTCTCGCCGATGTGCAAGCCATGTTTGATCTCGAACGGGGCAAGAGGACTTTACCCTCTTTGCCTGATTCGGA